CATCAGCATCGACCAGCAGAAGGAACATGGCAATTCAAGTAAGATTGTTCGATTGCTCGAGGTGCTGGATGATAAGTGTTCAACGTCCGAGGGCGAAGGGACCATCATCTTGGATGGCGAAAGTGGTGAAGAGATGGTCGAGAACAACAACACTGTCCCAAAGACAAAGAAACTCACCAAGAAGAAGAATAAAGGAAGACGAAGAAAGAAGAAATCCATAGTATGCGATGTGGCAGCGGGCAGTGATATCGAAGAACCATTCGAAGAAGTTGATGACGATAGTGATGATGAGGCGGAGACACAGTGTACGAGCCCAGCGTCGCTGAGGGAGTAATTACGTGATGTCGACCACCAGATCGAAATCGATGAACCTGAAGTTGCCGATGAATGACGAAGATGTCATCGATGTGGATGAAGAAGATGGAGGACCTCGTTTAAGCAAAAGAGGAGCTTTGAAAAGCGAGGCCAGGACGAAGGAGCATCTCCTCACCCACAGGTTCAAGAACCATATTGTGAGTCTTGTGTTTGGGCTGAGATGAAACATTGGAAAACATTCCGTGGAGCATTTCAGAGACGGCTCACAAAGTTCGGAGACTTGGTAACCTTTGGCTACGTGGACAATCGTCAGGTCCATGAACAGGATTTTGGTGCCCAGAAGACCATCTTCGTGATCCGAGATAGGTATACCGGGATGATTCAGACGTACCCATCTGCCAGGAAAGATGCGGACGCTGTAATCAGGGCCGTGAAGCAGTTCATGGGTCAGAGAAAGATTCGAGAGGCCTACTCTGATCGAGCTCCGCAGTTTACCGAAGCGATGAAGGCCTTGAAGATACCAATTGATCAGTCGTTGGCAGGAAAGACGAAACACAATTCCCTAGCGGAAAGGAACAAGTTTTTCTGCTTGTGGCCACCACGACTTGCCTGTTGGAAGCGGGAATTCCACCATGTTTTTGGAGGTTTGCCATAAGTTGTGTTAGTCATCTGCTGAATGTCGAGCCCAACGACCAGGAAGTGAGTTCATGGTGCAAGCTCCATGGTGAAGAATTCAAAGGGAAGATGATTCCGTTTGGAGCATTGGTCTACTTCAAGCCGAGCGGGGCGAGGCATGTGGAACAGAAACACAAGTTCGACCCTATGGGATTTCCAGGTGTGCTTGCTGGATATGATTTGGCGCCGGGACTACATTGGTCAAAAAGGTAGCGGGTTTGGGCATTGGCCGACGGGGCAAAGCAAAACTTATCCTATGATACGAGTGCCCCTGTGCCGAAGTTGAAGACTCCACATTACACTGAGAAGGCCGAGCTGAAGGAACCATTTGAATTTCCCTGCAAAGTCAACTACGAGAAGATCAATGTGACCATCGACGGCTTGAAGGAAAAGGAACGATTGGATGGGAGCCCTGACTATCTTCCATTACCTCCTCGTGACGATGATGACGAAAACGATGATGATGATGATGATGATCATCATCATCAAGGACGAGGGATGAAGATGGGCCCTTCGAAGAGATATGGAAGAGCTTGAGATGGAAGGCGCAATGGAACCGCAAAGGCACCCAGAAGCTTCCCAGACGGCTCCCCGGGGGTCCCCCCTGGGGTTTCCAGAGGGCTGGAACCAGAGCAGCCCAACACGGCCCAGAACGGCCCCACGGTCCAAAACGGCTTAAAACGGTCCAGAACTGCACAAAAAGCCCCCAGACAGAAAGTTCCCAGAAGGTTCCCAGAAGGCTCCCAGACACTCCCCCAGACAGGTCGCAGACGGCTCCCAACCACCCGGGGTCCCAAAAAGGCTAGAATGGCTCTCAGACGGGTGCTCCTCGACAGTTCCCCGAAGGCTCCCTGCAGAAGGCTCCTATAAACGGCTCCCAGAAGGCCCAGGGTCAGGATTTGGCGCTGGCCCGTGTAAAACGATATTTTGAAACCAGCTCCGTTTTGGTGCCTGGACATTGTGCATTTTTCTGCCTGCCAAAAGGCTCCCAGACTATCTCAAGGGAAAGGCTGGTGATGGTATTGTATATCTCAACAATGATGGCGAAAGGGTCAAGATCGATAAACGAGAATGTACATATCGAATTGATGAGAAAGGGTTCAAGAAGTTCTACAACTCTCCAAGGCCTGACAAGTACACACCGAGAGAATGGTAGAGGATTCCACATGAGAGACGTAAAGAGATCATCAAGGTCCAAGAAATGGAAGCCGAAGCCGAAAGAGTAAGACGAAAAGCGGAACGAAAGGTCAAGGAAGCTGAAGACAAAAGGATAAATCAAAGAAGAAGGACGAAGACCATGATGTTGGAGTATCAATCGAACAGGATCATGTTAGATGGGGAAGATGTTCTACTATGGACAGCCCAACACTTCCTCCGGAAGTAAGGGTATTGTTGATAGTAGGGAGATTGAATCCTCCGATACTGATGTACCTGGTGATGATGACTTCCTCCTCGAGTGGGATGAGTGGTCGGAGTTCGAGAAAGGGTATGGACCGAAGGCGACCTGGACCAAGGACAAAGAATATGACTTTGATTCTGGGAAGGTGGTGACGGCCGCTCCGCGGTCATACCAACCGGGGGATACCTTGAAAGAATGTAACAGTATGGTGGGTAAAAATCAGCATGAAGCTCATCGTGAAAAGTTGAATGGGGAAACCAATGACATCAGCATCAACAAGATGTTCAATACCGCGTTTGCTGAACCTGTTGGTAGAAAGGAGATGATGGAGAATGATGATGCTCGTAATTCCATGCATAAAGAATGGCTAGGTCAACATGCCGAGGGAGTCTATGAGTTTAGTGTGGTTAGAGAGTATGATGATGTAGTAGCAGAAGGGAAGAAAATGGGAAAGGAAGTAGTACTGGGAAGTAGTTTGTGCAAGCTTTGTAGTACAAAGTAGTACTGGGAAATACTTTGTGCAAGCTTTGTAGTACAAAGTAGTACCTGGGAAGTGCTTTGCGCAAGCTTTGTAGCACACAGTAGTACTGGGAAGTAGTTTGTGCAAGCTTTGTAGTACAAAGTATTTTGTAAGACTCTTCTGTGTAAATGCATCTGTGTCTCAAGCTTTCTGACGTGCAGAAGAGCCGAGATGAGTTGAGGCTAGCTTCGGTGAGATGAGAAAGTTTGAGCTGTGCTCAGACGACATGAAAATAGCCAAGAAGAACTTAGCTGACATATGGGAAGACATGAAATGAGATGAGAAGATCTCAGATGAGATGAGTTGAAATGAAGTGCAAGTGAGAAGTGTGGAGCGTGAAATGCGAAGAATGCAATGTGAAGTGTGAGGAAAGTGTTTGCTTGACAGTTGACATCGTTGCACCGGGGTCGCGCGCAGGTCATGTTCTTGGACACAACAACAACTGTTCTTGGTGGTGTTCTTGAAGTGTGAAGTGTGGACTGTGAAGTGTGGAGTGTGAAGTGTGAAATGTGGAGTGTGAAGTGTGAAGTGTGGAGTGCGAAGAGTGCAGTGTGAAGTGTGGAGTGTGAAGTGTGTAGGTGGAGTGTGAAGGGTGCAGCGAGAAGTGTGAAGAGCTTCACATGTGACATGTGAAACAGGACACCACTTTCACAGAATGCACGCACGCACAGGCTTGGCTGGCGCACAGCGCATGCAAGTTCTATAGATGAGAAAGGTCTTATATATATATATATATATCTTTAAGGCAACTTCTGCCCCGCCTCGTGCGGGTACTACTGGTAAAAAAAACATCAAAAACCATTTAAAAAAAACATCCAAAATTCAAAAAATAGGAAAACACAAAAAAAAATAGACAAAAATCATCAAAAATGTCAAAAAAACAAAAAAAAACATAAGAAATCATAAACAAACTCATTTAAAAAAGTTTTAAAAAAAACATAAAAAAAAAAACATTTTAAAAAAAAACATAAAAAATCATATCCATTTTCACCATTTTTCAAATCATATCCTAAAAATCATAAATATTCATTAAAAAAAACATAAAAGAAAATAATCAATAGAATAATTTTTTGACCAATGTTTTGCATCTCAGCTATATGGTCAGTGATCGAGAAGCAGCTGTTCAGGCAGAGAGTCTTCCGGATGTGTGCAACAGATCGGGACAAGGTTTCGACCCTCAATGCCATCGCCCACATCCCGTAGGAATCGGGAATGAGCCTGGAGTCTTTGGAGGTGGCGACTGGGCCTCCCACGCTGTTCGAAGTATTCAGAAGCGAAGGGGATCTAACCACTACGGGACCTGAATATTGGACCGAAATGGAGGACTTGGTGAAGGAAGCCCACAACCGGTTCAAAAGAAACAGGCTGAAAAAGAAAGCATGGATCGAGGCGGAGCTTGCTCCGAGTTGACAACGAAATGCGCTGGTTTCCAGTCGATGTGTTCAGGGACACTGATATGGTTTGTGCCCAATGTCGTGATGAGCCAATCCTCGCCATGAGAATCAAAGTAGCCTCGGACACCAGCGGGATGAATCTCCCGAGGTGGGGTCAACGCGCCGACCACATTTGTGGCCAACCACACGCTGCAGCACGGAGAGAAGCTGATGAAGGCAGTATCGCACATGGGGGGAGTGAGGATCCCTGCGCATCAAGCCCGCGAAATCTTCAATTTAAAAATGGATGCGGGAAGCAGGTGATGGTCCACCGGACCGAGTTCCGAGAGCCTGCCAATGAGCGCACCGTCTATGCCTACCGGCTGACCCTGTGGAAACGTGGCCTACAAAGATTTCTTGGTGAAGGTCATCAACAGTGATGAAAAGATGAATGAAATTTTTGGACCGACGGAAGCCACCGCCGAAAAGGCCGGCGATGTCATCGAGTTTTGGCTCGGCCTACTTGACATTGCCTCAATGACAAAGGGGGCGGTGAACATTTTCGACGACGACATCAACCCGACCGAATACCTGAATTGCCTTGAAGCAGCAGTTCGTTTCTTCGGAAAGATTGCGAGGACTTCGAGAGAGCCAGGAAGTCATGTTGAGAATGAAGTACGTGGAAATGTACTCAGGCTCCCACGATACCTGACCGAAGATGAGCATACTCAGGTTCAGCCACTACTACAACGTCATCGAGTGCGATGCCCCAACCTGCGCACCTGAGGGTGAAACCACCTACGCCAACACGGGACCTTCGGTCCAGGCGCCTGGTGGAGAAGTACCTCAAAGGGAAGCTCCTGCCGAGGAGTATGTGACGTCTGGTTGGAAGAGGATATTGGACGCTCTGGGGAACTTGTACCAGGTCGCTGAGGACGAGAACATTTGTTTGTACTGCGGGGCAGTGGACTATGAGATGTACACATGCCCTGATCCCAGGGAGAGCGAAATCAAGAAGGCCCTGAAGGACCTCCGCATGACCGAAGAAAAAGGAGAAAGCGCGGGTGCTCCCATGGATGGTGGTGAGGGAGAGACTGAGGCCAAGGGAGACGCCGGAGCAGATGGCCCAGAGTCCGATGACGATGAGGACAGTGCTGATCTCTACGAGGAGCCCATCTATATATGAGTGAGGTGGGGGACCGCGATGAGTTTGGCCAATTCTGCATCGATGGCGTGGAAGTCAGAAAAGATGGTCCAACGACCCAGAATCAAATCGCCCAAGTGGTGCGCGAAGCCATCATGAAGGGAGGTGGAGATAAGTGGTCGACCTTAGATTTCTACAGCGCCTACCCGGAGACGAATTCCAGGAAGACAAGGACCTATCGGCAGATTGATTACCCGATCTTGGGAAGATTCCGCATCATCCCCACCAATGGATGCGAATTCCACCACATCAGGAATGGGTACGGTGGAGTGGCATACGGTCGCGACTACGTCCCTGAACTGACGCCCCACGAGAAGGCAGCGAGTTGGAACCTCAATGTTGGAATGAGGCATCACGTGGGGAAGAGTAGCAGGAACCAAGGATATGGTTTGAAATGCGACGATGCGGGATGGGTGGACCTTGATGAAGTCTTGAAGTACTCATTTTTTTGGGCCCATCCAAACATCCAAGAGCCGGTCCTGCTCTGGACACGGAACAATGGCGAAGGGGCCATGGACCTCAACGAAGCCAGCAGAAGGATGAGGTCGTTGTTCAAGATCATGCATCACAGTGTGGTGGACGGGAAGTCCGTGCCCAGATGTTGGCATTTGTGGCAACACAAGAGACACCCAAGACGACAAGCTTCGGCAGAGAGCGTGGCATCAATGAGAACATGCACATCCCACCAGAAGGACTTCACACCAACTTACCGCAGGAGTGGTAACGATGATGCCGTCGTGCTTCCATGAGACGTCCAGAGAGAAATGGGAATCTTCGAAAGGGGCCCGGTGCGCGGAGGAGGATCTGGAAGGCTGGTCACCTATTTCAACGCGTTTGCACCTTGGGATGAGCGATCCTGGAAATTGGCGAAAGGGTACCAGAAACAAAGGTGAAAAGGCCGTGTTTTATTTGCCATCTGAAACCCTGATGGACCAATTTGAACGCCGAATCACAGACTCCGGCCAACCAGTGACCGATCAGGTGATCCCCTTTGGAAGTTTGAGGGGGGCCTGGGTGCAAGACAGCGCCAAGAAGTGGCACCGCCTTATTGTGCCTTCTGGCCTAGAGCAACTTGTGAAGTCCATCC